CCAGTATGTCGCAAATCCTAGCTACCAGGTTTTCGAGCGATCTCATTACAGCACGAAATACTGCAAGAGCGCATGATCGCACAGGCTCGCCCGGTGCGCGTCGCCAATAATTTTTGCATAGTTTCAGGTTGGGAGGGCCCCCTAGTTCCTTGTTGCCTCGCACCTCTAGGAGACCGTCCTGGGTCGAACTATGTGTCAGTATCAGTTTACCATCAAAACGAATGAACGAGTTGTAGAAGGACTGGTGCCTCACAGAGTGTATCGAGCTCTCGGCCTCCTGTATGAAAAGAGCGCCTTCGCTCCAGCTTGTAAGTCAGTAGAGAGAGTTGATTTATAAGATTTTATCAGCACACAAATGGAATATGGTACACGCAAGTCTACTTAGAACTTTCGTGTTCATTTCAAACTATAGTGATTAAAAATATAATATAGGAAGGTTGACATATCAACTGGCATATACTTCTTCAATTTTCCAGTCCGATATCTTATATCAGTAATGCCACTATTACTGAATGCTCACAGTAAAGTCTGGGCGTCTTAACATTTCTGGTATATTTTGGATTTATAATTTTCCCTTCTTAAACTATAAAAGCAAATTAAAATTTCTGGTGTGGACATGGGAAAAATTGGTGTGCTGTGTGCAGAGTGGGGAAAAAACTGATTATTATCCATGGGTAACTGTGGAAAATCGACAAAAATTAGGTAAAGTGCAGGTTTTTGGCCTCTAGTACTTAGTTATTGTAGGATGTATCGAGGTGGCTACTATACATGCAGTTTCAGATGTTTCTGTTGTTGGCAAAGATTCCAGTGCTGTGTCTAGAGTTCGGATGGTCCCGGAGATAGTGAAAATGCGGAGCCCGGCTCCCTTCTAGTCCACCAGTATCGTGTAAAAAAGTATGCGAAAGGAGAAATTTGCTCTCAAAATTTCTGCTTCTCAGTTTTCTTTGTTCTGGAATTGAACTGATAGAAGTTTCATGTCTTTCGTTTTTCAGGAATTTCTAATTCGGAGTCTCCAGCAATCTCGAATCCTTAAGAATTTCTTCCGTGACTTCTTTGATGACCGAATATGCGTAAGCAACGTCTTGACGTGTCGTAAGCGGGCTGCAGATCACAAGTCGTAGAAAGTATGTGCCGTGGACAGCTGACGCCACCAGGTGAATGCGGCGGTCCTCGTCGAGTCTGTGGTTCAAAAGCTCGTTCATCTCATTCGTCGAGTTCTAAAACTCACCAAAAGTAGTCCCTGTTTTCAAAGCGAAATACATGTTATAAACTGCCTCTAAGCAGGGTGCACAGAGAATTAGCACTGATGCCGTGTAGTAAGTCTGAAGTTCGACTCCTCCGACGAATTACAGCCAATTATTCTAGTATACGTTTCTTCTGATGATAAACCAGTAGCGACATATATATCAGGGGGACAAACCCACCATCAGCTTGCTTGTAAGCAACCGTCAAAAGAGAGAGCTGTTAGTGGGCGATTGCTGTTGGCATTTGCTGCTGCTATCTTTTTCCCAAGTGCGTCCGTTTTCTACTTAGACGAACGCGGAAGCGGATCCAATTTTGATTTTCGCATTATAAATCACTTTTTCATATTACATTATAAATTCACTAACGCTTTCCATTATTATCTTGTTACTAACTACTATGTCAGTAATTAATGGTTAGTGGCGATTATAATACTTTAAATTGTTGATATAACAGCAGAAAAAAGAACCTGACAATATGCTTTTTTGCATTTACATAAAAATGAAAAGCGCACAAAAAGAGTTATATAACACGAAAATCTGGGGGGCTATTACTCTTTAAATAACTGAAGAACTGCTTAAAATATTTTTGGAAGGTACGGAAAAAAATTTTTTTGACTTCATCGGTTTGATTAGCAAAGGTAGCAACTTTTTAAATTTCTGTATAACTTGGCCATGTACAAAATGATGAATGCTTCAAAAGTTAATGGGAAACGTGTCTCAGCATTCTTGGATTGTACAGTTTAAGATACAGATAAATTTTTGAGATCCAAGATTTTGGACGCTCTATTCGTAACAAGTGAAAACTTGTCCCGAGTTTCTTTTGCAGGTTTCATTCTTGTACATCGAGGAATAATAAACTGTACTTTTAACCAAAAGATTTAAAAGTCAAAACTCTCTCTGTATTCACTCTCAACGAAAGGAAGGGGCATTCAGGAAGTTGCGCATTTCATAATATGCCAGAAATGTGCAGATACTGTATTTTATAACAAACCTTAATACGGAAGCATACTAGTCCCAGCAATCGCGGCACGAATAGCTCAAATAGGCCGTCTTCCCGGAGAAGCTCTTCGAAATATTCTGCCAAGTGGACCGACTACAATTTTATCAGTAAATAGCTTGGAAAACCAGGATACTGGAGAGATCGAGAATTTTTTTTTACATAGTTTTATTTACTGGAATCAAATTTGCGCATGTGTTTCAAATGCTCACTTGATTTCCCGAATAATCAAGAATCAACAAATTTTAAAGAAAGTGCGCGGCAGACACAACATATGCAAAAATCCAGGGAGCATCTCACCAGTGTACTTTTTTTGCGGATGCACAGTGCGTTTGTGGCTTCCCTACTACATCAAATCACTTTCAGAGTTTTGAGTCACTGCAAGATAAACAGCTAAGTTGTGAAAAAAGTTCCGCAAATTGAACTTTGACATTTATCTATACGGTGATGGAGACGTGATTGATAACTGGATTTGAAATCTTTAGATTAGAATGGATAAAGAGTATCCTGATAAAATTTCAGCTTCCAAGCTTGACTGTTCACAAAATCGTTTCCCGCCAGCAATTTTGTTTTTCTTTGAAGCTTCTTTGCATCAAACTAGGCAAACATTAATAGTGATTTCAGGTAGTATATGTCCAAAAACATGGCCGTAAAATTTTCGTTTCCCAGCTTTGCAGTGGAGTTCAAGATGCGTACATTCACTGAAGATGTAAAGAAGCTTAAACTAACATTTCTCAGGTGTTTTTGCAATCCAGTGACACCCACTTTTCGCAGGACAAACCATATTTTCAGTGAGCGGAATCGTCTCCCAAGAGCGATTTGAAGATGCTGCAAAAGGGCGTGTTTGGTACTCTTGAGCTAATAATTTAAATTGTTCATGTCAAATTTGCTTACCCGATAATCATATGCAGATGACTGGTGATCATATTTTAGGTAAAGAGGATTCAGTTCGAAGTAGCGCAGCGCATGCAGCCCATCTTTGAACCTGAAACGATTTTCTATTTTGGTCTCTCACGTTGTATATATATATATATTTGCATAATTCAAGAAGTGTTTGGGTTTTCTGTGTGTTTATTTGTTTTTTATCTTATATTTTTGTGTGCTCTATATGTATGCGCCTGTGAGTTCGTGTACACTTCTGGTTTGTTTGTACGTTTATAATTGTTTGCTTGTTTATGTGTGCGTGTCTGTGTGTATAATTTCATTACGCGTTTTTGCTGTGCAGGATTTCATTATGCGTTTTTGCTGTGCAGGATTTTCCAGTGTTATCTGAATGTTGTAAACCGAATGTACTTAATCCATAAGGCTATGTAGTTGCCGGTGTTTCTCCACTATCAACAATACGTAACAACATGAGTACCTCAGCCCTCATCCGAACGATATTTTTAAAACTGTTCCAAATTCTTCTAGTCATCATGGTGCCACCCGTAGCCCAGGAATGGCAATGCTCGAGAACGTACGGTAATTCCCAACTTATATCACGTCTCAAAATGGTTGAACTCTTGCTAAGCGCCTCTGTTGGGAGAATTGTTGAATTGCTGATCCCTTCAGGAGATGAAACAGGCGTCAAGATAGCCAACAGCAGACTGACCACCAACCGATGCAGCATTGATCAAAGTAAATGGAAAAGTTGCAAGCTGTGCAGTTGGAGAGCCACGCTACTAGCAATAGCAGTTGGTGTAAGTACCAAAATGCACCGCAAAATACATCTTTTCTGAAGCGCTAACCACATTGGTGAGCAGTCAAAATTGATTTGTAATGTTTTGTGAGCGTTCATATTGAACGAATCGACGTATTTCAAGCCGTTCCCAATGTAACGGTATTCCGGACACAGCATAAATGATCCTGAAAGTACGCAGTTTAGGTTGGTTTATGAAGGGCATCCCGGTAGCATTGCTAAAATGGGACGCCCAGATTGATTGTCCTGACTAAGCTCGCCAAGACAGTCAATTGATAGTAAGTGTCTGTGCTGTCACGAATTTTTGCTGACCTTTAATCCAGAAATAAGCAGTAACTGAACTCACCAACGTATTGGAGTAGTAACACTTTCACTTGCCCGTGCCTGAGAACCGCGCGTGCTTGGGAACTGAATTTAAAGTCTTTAATTTGTACTTGGACAAGGAACATCTCCTTAAAATTTCAGCTCTCCAGCAATTTTGCTGCCAAAAAAATTCACGCTCCCGCAAGTGCGTGAAGAGTGATACCACGGTCTCGAAAAAAGTCAAATTTATTGGGCAGAAAATGCTGCTTGTTTCGTATAGTATTCGTAAAATAGCAAGTGGTACTTTTACAAAAGAAAACGATCATTCGGAAAACTTCGAGACCACGTGTTCTGCAAGGGAAGACGTTCTGTAGAACAAAAGAATCTGGCACAGCTGCGCTCAGCATCTGAGGTTTGCGGAACAAGATTCAGGCGAAAAGTGATAGTAGAAATGAGGGTACCTGCATAAGCGGAATCGATGTGCACCCAGATGCCTTCTTTTTGACATATTGGGCCGAGTTCACCCAGCGGGTCGAATGCACAAGTGGATGTTGTGCCAAGGGTCATAATGAATATGAATGGAATTAGCCCATTCGCTCGATCTGTCTGCAACATAATTAGCAATTTATATGTGGTTTTGAAATGCATGTGGTACCCTACTACGCTAAAAAAAACACATAAACCATAAACAATTTGTAAATCATTGGCTACGCGCACTGGGTGAGCCCATGCAATCATATGTTTTTACAGTGTTTCGTGCTGTAATAAGATCACTCGAAATTCCGCTAGCTAGAAACCTCTGACATACTGGTC